TAAACCATTCGAAATAACAAAAGGAAGCCAACAAAACAAGGCAAGGGTAGAAACGAACAGCAAAGTTCTTGTTACGCGTTCATTTCGCGAGGTTCTATTCTGCTGTTGTGATGAGACGCTTCCCTGTTTAAGCTTTCTCCAAACTGCGATGTTACAACCGCAAATGGTAAACAGCAGGATAACTGCGAATGGCATTCCTACGTAAGTGCATTCTTGGCCGGGAATCAAGAACACCAAGCTGGAGAAAGGCAAGGCTAACATCCAAACTGTAAAGATCATAACACAGTAATTTTGTACTGTTAGTTTTCGGTGATTAAAGGGCTGTGATATGGCGTAAAACCTCTCACAAGAAATGAAGGCCACGGAAATTAACGAAGCCACTAATGCGACTTTCGAGGTGATGTCTAAGAACAAGTTCAAATACGTGTTTACATTTTGAGTCCAGATTCGGTAATACTCCGGTCTTCCAAAGCCAAGGTAAATATATAGCGGAAGAGCTAAAGTTCCAAAGATCAGATCAGCCAACGCCATATTGAGAACAAGAAACAAGCTTTTCTTGCGGAGTTTCTTGTTGGCTGCAAAGAGGAAAATGGTGAGAAAGTTTTCTACGACGATTAAGACAGATAGTATCGCAAAAAGACAGCACCATACGAGGCCTTCTGCCTTGGAAGGAAGATCAATCCTTAATGGACCACGACCATTCTCTTTGCCACTGTTCACAGCCAGCGTGTCATTCATTTTGAACTTTTCGCTGCAAGATGAAAATTTTTCAATGAGGTTACGGCAAAGGTAACTCACGCGGTTTGACTGAAGTGAGTGGAAATATTGCAATATATAGCATTACATCTTTTTGCTGAGTCACAAACCAAATGTCATTCGCGAACCGAAGGTTTTAAGATTGTTATCGCCGCCAATATCCGCTCACCTCAGTCATTTGTTGACGCAAGAAGGAAGAACTTGAATTTTTAGCTGAACACAACTTATCAAAAATTATATTTCTCCTTCCCATGCACTCTTGACACAGAAACGCTTAGCTACTCGCTAATAGAAAAGTTACCTTAAAACTTACGCCGTCTAATTTGATCGATCACTTTTGAAGGATAACGCTTGAAAATAATACAGCTTATCATTCAAAATATTCTCCGCGCTTTGGATGTGTTTGTGCGCTTTTTTCCTCATCCATTTACCACGCATAAAAAAAAGGTTTCATTTCCGACAATAATGTTTTTTTCAAGACATTTTTATAGGTGCATGCTTAATAAATGACCATTTCATTGAAAGATGCTTAATGGGTGGTTCCTTGAAAGGGAACCTTGAATATTGACGATGAAGGACTAGCAGTATCGAGTGATATCATGTAATGGCATATTTATTTCAATTTTTCAGACGCCTCGGGGTCTATGACTTTAAGGTGTCTTGAATAAAGTCAGTATTAATAATCTCTAGAAGTAATTATACGATACTCGCTGACACATAAGAAGTCTCAATGAGGGGCACTTTTTTGCCGCTTATAAGACCTACTACCACCGTCTGTTAAGTCAGCGAGTAGCCTCTCGCGTTTGCATTTTGTCTAACAGCCCCTTTCCCGGCAGGGCTGCCCATTCTATCATAATGGCAGCTGCTTTTCGAAAAAGTTATAAAAACCCCTTTTCTTGATAAATTCTGCTACGAATAATTTTTTCATTTTTCAGTTCCTATCTGTTCCTTAAAAATTTAAGAAAAATGCTTTTCCGGTATAATGTAAACTAATTGAACAAAGGAACAGTTTTGCTGCCAAAAAAATTAGGATTTTGAATCCAGATTACATAAAAACTCTAACACGAAAAGCTTTTAGCGGTGTCTCTCCGAACGAAGACTATGCCCTTGATCAATAAATGAACTCAAGCTTAATTGCATTATAGTGATCTATAGATCCAAACGACGGAAAATATTATTAATCAACTGAATCATAACTCTTAGCTTTTAATGCTGATGCCACTGCGGTAAATATTATTGTTTGATGCAACAGCAGGTTTTGTAATTATTAAGAAAACAGCCACAGTAGTGCAGTAGTTTCATAATGATTACAACAATGCACCTCCTCGCCCGAGTCGAAATTGTCATGAAATTAACTCGAAAATGCAGTTTCCCACGAGGAACCGCTTTTTACTGAGAATTGTTTTGTTCGGCTGCCATGGTCAAGTTCAGATACTCCAAGGAGCAGGTGCTTTCTGCTCTTTAGTAGTTTTTTATCCTGATGCTTTCGAGATATTTCACAAAAGCAACTACAAAAGACTTTTGACTTTAATGTCAAAAGAGATGATTTATGAAACGGCTTCCAATACAAACACAAGAAATAGTTGCGATCTGTTTATATTCACTTTGTTTTTGTTTCGAATGTTTTCCTTGTTTCATTATGAAATTA